CCCCCCCCCCCCCCCCCTTTAGGCATACTGTGTCCTTCTACTGCTGACATATGACACATATATGTCCTACTACTGCTGACATATGACACATATATGTCCTACTACTGCTGACATATGACACATATATATCCTTCTCTCTGGCCTACTATGTCATACTTATGTTCTTGTCCTCCCCGAAGCCCTACTATGTCCTACTACTGCTGACATATGACACATATATGTCCTACTACTGCTGACATATGACACATATATTCCCCCCCCCCTCCCCGGCCTATTATGTTCTATTTATGTTCTTGTCCTTCCTCAGCCCTACTATGTTCTACTACTGCTGACATATGACACATAATATATGTCCTCCTCCAGGCCTACTGTGTCCTACTACTGCTGATATATGATACATATGTGACTTCCTATGTCCTACTTATGTTCTTGTCCCCCCAGGCCTACTACGTCCTACTGATGTCCTTGTCCTCCCCTCAGCCCTACTACGTCCTACTACTGCTGACATATGACACATATATGTCCTCCCCCAGGCGTACTATGTCCTATATATGTCCTTGTCCTCCCCCCAGGCCTCCTTCGTCCTACTACTACTGACATATTATTATGACACACATGTCCTTCCCCCAGGCCTACTACATCCTACTACTGCTGACCGACGGAGTCCTCAGTGACATGGGAGACACGCGCCAGGCTATCGTCCAGGCCAGCAAGCTGCCCATGTCGCTCATCATCGTGGGCGTGGGCAACGCAGACTTCAGCGACATGAACGAGCTTGACGGGGACAATGGCGTCCTCAAGGCTCCATCGGGCGAGGCCGTCAAGCGGGACATTGTCCAGTTTGTGCCGTTCAGGGAGTTTAAGCAGGTCAGTTGTCCAGGATGTTGGGTTTTTTTTTTTGTAGTTTACATATCGTTCGGGACCTCGGTGCTTTTTTGTGGTATCTCCATTTTTAACACTTTGCAGTCATACAGCCAGCAGTACGAAATACCACTTCTGTTCACCCAGCCAGGAGAGTGACTACAACAGACTTCTCGGGCCTGGCGCGAAACTGCGCCAGGTGACCAGAACGGGTAATTTTCACTGGTGCAATGATCTTGATTGCACCAAGTGACCCCAAAGTGTTAATAACAGTGAAAACAGTTCATAACAAAGAGTGAGCTGAAGAAGAAGTCACTTTTTCATTTTTTAAAGTATAGTAGAGGTTTTACTGCGCTCGTAACTGCATAAGGTCATATGAGCGCCAAGGGGTGGGTGTCAACAGAGAAGTCTTTACAGGAAATCAGACTTACTCTGCTCACCTCTCTAGCTTCAACAGCACAAAGTCTGCTTCAACTATCAAGGCACCCCGGAAATAGCAGGTCACAAGAGTGACAAACATACAAAAGAAATAGAGGAAAATGACAATAGTAAGGATTAGGAAAGAAAAAGCAGCAGTGCCCTGTTATAGATCAGGCAGAGTTATGAGCGTGACATGAATCAGCCCATTTACAATTCTACTATGCTTGAACGAGAAATGTCCCCCCTTTGGGAATGGCCTAAAGACACTACAGTCAATGGCACTGCCCCGGGGGGTTATTGTTTTCACCGTTTAAAAAAAAAATGGAGAAACAAGAAAGCACTGAGGTTGCGATCTATTTCTGGCACTGTCAAATCTGCTCTAATGACCAGTCCTTCCCACTTTGTATTTTAAAAAATGTTATGACATTGTCTAAGAGGACTACTTGCCTAAGATGACGGCTCCTTGTGGGTTTTTTTTTCTATATATTGTTATGAGGGTGTGGTGGCGATACTAATGCGGCATCACTCTTTTCCTTTCCTGTCTTTGTTCTTTTGTGGTTCAAGTTTTATGTGAACAATTTGCGAGCGCCGTAAATCCGTACTAAAACAATTTTCCTGCAACATTCAATTATAAGAAGACTTAATGATAATAATAGTAAATTTCATTTATATAGGGTATTTCCATAAAGAAGTATGAAAGAACTGATCTTTTTCTCTCTTGTGCCGTATTCAGAGTACAGCGGCTGAGCTGGCCTGCCACGTTCTGTCAGAGGTTCAGATCAGTTTCTTTCTAGGATAATGGCCCCTTGTTATCTCTCCTGTCTTTTTTCTCTTTTGTGGTTCAAGTTTTATGTGAACAATTTGCGAGCGCAGTAAATCCGTACTAAAACAATTTACCTGCAACATGCCATTGTAAGAAGACTTTCCCCAAAGGTGCGAAATAACTTATCTTTTCCTCTCCCGTGCCATCTTCAGAGAGGTGAGCAGAGTAAGCCTGGTTCCCCATTTGGAATTCTCTGTTGACGTCCACCCCTTAGCGCTCATATGACCTTGTGCAGTTGTGAGCGCCGTGAAACCTTACCAGAATAATTTACCAATAATATGCCATTGTAAGAAGACTTAATAATAATGATAATAATAATAATAATAATAATAATAATAATAATAATAATAATAATAATAATAAATTGCATTTATATGGCGTATCTTTTCCTCCTCTGTGCCGTCTTCAGAGCACAGCGGCTGAGCTGGCCCGCCACGTTCTGTCGGAGGTTCCCAAGCAAGTGACGGACTACTACAAGTTCCGAGGCCTCAAGCCCAACCCAGCCCGGCCCGCGCCCCCTGCAGGCCCCCCCACGAGCTGAGAGCTGAGCGGGCTCCGATAGTGACGAAAAAGAAAACTTTAGATTGGCGCTTCTCATATAGTTAGATGTGTATTTATTCCATTTGTTGTTCTTTTGTGATGAAAGCATGTCCTCCAGTGATACTAATTGTCTTGGGACTCAAAGTTTGCCAGCTATGCCTTAAAACAGTTTAGAAGAAAGAAATATTTTTGGGACGTCGTTTATTATATATGGTGAATTTTTGAAGATGATATTTTTATCTGTAGTAGATGTATCTTTTCAAGGTCAAATTGTCTTTTTTTTAAAGCAGTTTCTCACAGTGGTGCAACTGTTTTTTGCCCTAGAAAAGCTCACGTGAACCAAGCTCTTTTCGCTAACTGGAAAGTTTTACAAATGCTTCTGTAACTGTTCTATTATGAAGTGATCGTATGTCGTCATATTCATAACAACCTTGCAAACAGTCAAGTATTGCTTCATCAAATAGGTGCAATATCCGATAACTTACTCAAGGTTTTTCAAGGGAGGGGTCGCGGCGGTGCTTTTTCTGACAGGAGGTTTGTCACGCTTTTTGATAATAATTTCTTTCTCTCAACTTCTGTCAATGCCCTGCTGTTCTGCATTTTATCGTGGCCAAGGGAATGTTCATTTATTACGCTGTTGAATTTCAGCTCAGCTATGAATATTTAGATTGCTGTAAAGTTCTCATTACGAAATTTAAACTCTGGTTACAGTTCAGATTGTTCGTCCAATTGAGACGAAACAGAATTGGGTTTTCAGCGAAGTTTATCTTGTGATAATGAAGCAGTAAGGTTAGCGCATTTAACTTGTAATGTCTGCAAATCCAGCGTTTACTTCATACGTTATCTGAAACGCAGAGAGGACTAGTTTGTGGTGGGACGTAGGAAAATAAGCTCGTTGGAAAAGAGATGGATGTAAATGTGTTTTCTTGTCTTTTCACAGGCTGGTTGCTTTATTGTTGCCCGATATAAGAAATGGCAGTAGACGTACTTATTTCAGACAGAACTCTTTGCACCTAAAACAGATATTTACTGCTGCCGGTTGAAATGATTGGTCTTTTCTATTAATGCTCCTTTCTATTATTTTTTTCTTTCGCAAGTCTTGAACAAAATGAATTGGTTAAGTAACGAATGGATTTATATCATGGCAACAGATCAAAATGAAGAGAGCATGCTATGAGTATTTCTTATCCAATTTTGGAAAGACGTATCATTTAATTTCATGATCTGACAGTAGTTTATAAGGAAAGGGGCGATGTACAGTAAAAGGATAATTGTTTTTGGGTCAAGATCTATTTTGTGTTTTTGGGCTACAATGTGTGAGATCTTCCTACTTTGAAGAGACGGCAGCAGGATAGGAACTGATTTATGGTTCATGACCTCTGCTGTGTTGAAGTTCTCACTCTTTCTCTGTCTCTCCTTTTCTCAATCTTTATGTCTACATCTCTCTCTTTTTCTCTGTCTCTATCTCTGTCTCTCTCTCTGTCTCTCTCGCTCTCTTTCTCTCTCTCTCTCGCTCTTTCTCTCTCTCTGTCTCTCTCTCTCTCTGTCTCTCTCTCTCTCTCTTTCTCTCCCACTCTCTCTCTTTCTCTCACTCTCTTTCTCTCACTCTCTTTCTCTCTCACTCTGGTCCTTTGCAGCTGTTCAGCACATTTATGCTCAGAATGTTTTGGTTGTCTATCTTTATGCAGTACTTGTTAATTCCTCACTCTTCCTCCCTGAGATCTGCTAGAACTGTGTACACTTCACAAGAGTGTCCTATCATCTTTTAGACATATCTGATCGTAGAACATTTTGGTCTCCTCATGACATCTTTTATTTAGTTTCAGCTGTTATATATATATAAAGTTTTTTTTACCCACAGCAAATACTTCTTTGTCCATGTTTGTTTTGTATAGCCACCAACTATTATGTTCATGGGGTGCTGGGTGTCCTTTAGGGTACCGTTCGCTTTTGCGCTTCTGCTTCTTCATTTGTGTTACGATGCGGTGGAGTCAGGCGCTCATCAATTTTTGGGCATGTGGAGTTATTATTAGTAACATCTTAAAGTTTGTCCATTTAACTATCTTTTGATGCGCTCATATGACCTTACGCAGTTGCGAGCGCCGTAAAACCCTATACTACTACTACTATCTTTTGATGAAAAAAAATACACATCTATCTTGAATAGAAGTCTAGATATATGCTATTTAAGGAAGAATACGGCCACCAAAATTTGGTGACTTCCTCAGCTTGAGAGCACCGTGTGTAGAGAAAGGAAATTTACATTTGTTTTTACATGGACATATAATGTGTTGAGCGAGCCAAAAAATAAAAATTCGAAAAAATTGGTCAAACTGGCGGAAAAACGCCGATATCTATGATTTCATTATTTTGAGGAGCGCCTGATTTCACTGCGACGCTTTTTCGTTTGCTTTTGTTTTATTTCAGGAATACCATCTTTGGGAGGTGTGGTCTGAAAGTGTACTTCTCACTACCCTGAGACAGCCGTTTATTTGAAGCTTGCAGCTTTTTGATTGCTTTTTAAAGATGTTGGGGGTTTTTTCTCGGTCAAAACTAATGTACCGTACTTCCATGGCCTGTCGTCACACTGCACTTTTGTGATGGCCAGAAGACTATAGGGCTAGCAGCTATGAAGAATCACAAGCACTCTGAATGATCTTACACAGACTTGGGGAAATTTTTCTAATTATATCTCGGTAGTTTTCTTGATACACTCTTATAAATTTCGGACTAAGTCCGTTGTTTTACATTTCTCCTCTTGCTCACCTCATGTAGAAGAGTTCTCCACTTTACACTGCATCTCTTTTGATGATCTATATTATGTGAAAAGAATTCGAAGTTTGCTCAATCCAGTCATTTTTCGTTCCGTCATGAATTTCTGGAGTAAGAAAGTTTGATTAAAACTGAGCAAAAATTAGCTTCCTTCCCAAATTATGTCAACGTCAAGATAAGATCTTTGAAATTATCTACTTTTTTCTCTTTCTTTCTTTCATGTTCTAGAAGAAGGATGTTTTTTCTTAAACATCAACAATGGACACCCGTCAAATATGGTCATATCATGCCGTATCTGAGGCCGTTTTTGTTGCGGAACTGGAAATATTAACGCGTAGAATATTTTGGAATGACTGAGAAAATTTTAGAGAATTTCTTTTGTCTTTGTGAAAGAAGCAGACAAGTTTTAGATGTACAATCAAATGCCTCTGTGTATTTCTAATCAGACAAATACATTTTCTCTTCTAACACGATTCTGTAAATGAAGTATGATTTTATATCTTCAATGAATTACTTTACCCATTTCAATTTTCTATGCTCAAGCTGTTTGCACTGTATTTTATTGGAAATAGGAGCTGACTCATTCATTAGTGGTTTGCTTTGTGAATGTGTACGCCTTTCCCAAAGGTGCAAGACGTACTACCAAATACGTAAAAGATGAATATGCTATGGCTTCATTATTGAAGCTTTAAAAATATATGTGAGGCAGCGTGGTGGAATCAGGCTATCGTCAAAATAGTCAAAGTATGGAAACTTGCATTTTTCCGCCAGTTTGTGAATTTTTATCAAATTTTTGTTTTTGGCTCAACACCTTTCATTCCCATTAAAGAACTCATTCTGTGTGGATTTTTCTGAAAAACGTCGATTAAAGGTACAAAAAATGTACATTTTCAGTTACCATGGACTCTTAAGCTAAGCAAATAACTAATCTTTGGCGACCTTTTTCTCACTAATTTTACCTCTGAAAACAGGTGACCCACACCTTCTTCTTTCGCAAATATCTCGACTTTTAATCAAGATAAATGGATATTTTTTTCATCCCAATAAAGACAAGTGAACAAGCTTTAAGATGATACCAATAACTCCACATGCCCAAAAATTGACGAGAGCCTGACTCCACCACGCTGCCTCACATGTTTGCTGTGACTTTGGTTGTAGTAGAACATTTCATGCTCCCTTCTGGATCCCCATCTGCCCCCCTCCCCCCCC